GGCGAATGAACTCATCCTACACGACATAAATAAACATGAGTGCTTATAATTATTAAAAATAATAAAATATTTTTCACATTCAATTAAGGTTTAAATGAACATATTTGCTTACAACTATGTCCTTTGCCTTATCATTCACCCATTGCCCGTCCTTATTCTTTTTTGTCCTTGCCATTAGATCAAATATTGTGGAATCTCGATTAAGTTCATGAACCTACATATAAAATATTAAAATTTAAAGTATTTTTGTAATTAAAATCTATAAAGGTAAGTTGAACATAGAATTTTAATTACCATTCTTTTTCGATGCACTGTAATAGAAATGGATTCACCAGTATACAATGAGGCTCCATTATCAATAGCTCGATTTTGCTTGCTAGTATCACTCTTCTTCTTAAAATCATCTCCACTCCAATAAGCATCTAATTGCTGCCTAACTTCAGGAATGATCCACTCACCCTTGTCCTTACCCGCTTGTAACTTAGACATTGTATTCTTAACAATGACAGAACCTTTATGGTTAAAAGTAGCTCTCACAAATTTTTCATAACGGGGAAACCACTTGTACTTTTTCTGTAAGAAAACAATAAATTAGTTTTAAACAATAAAACTTATTAATAAAGTAACTAAACTTGTAGCAAAAGTAAAGCAATACAAATATTAGGACATAAACAAGCAGATGTACAAGAAGTGAAACATTAAAGACAACAAACAACACTAAAAATGGAGAAATATACAAGTGACAACAAGCAACATTTATAAAAAAAGGAAAACAAAAAATTTATTTAAGTATCACCTTCCCTACAAATAAAAATAAATAATAATTCTATGTAGTACAAGTATGTTGCCACCTTGATATAAAGCCCTTCAAGTATTTGATTGAAATGTTGTACTAAAACTTGAATATACACACCCATTAGGTGAAAAAAACCAATAAACAATAACCAAATAAACAAAATTATGTGCCTTATACATATAATGCTACTTAAAATAATAAAATTATAAGCAATGTTACCTTAAATTCATCAAACCACATGTTCTTATAATCTTGTGGCACCTTAGTCCAGTTAGGCCAAGGACTATCATACTTGGCCTTGATGATGTTGGAGATAACCCTACTAGGACCTTTTGGAGGCAAAAAGCTATAAAATAACAATAGTAATAATGAATAGAAAATAACAAGAAGAAAACCAATAATAATTACTAAATTAAATCATTAAAGTAAATTATAGAAATCAAATGTGTGAACTTACTCATGCTTAGCTCCTGGACTAACCCATATCTTCCCATAAGAGGAATCTCTAAATCCAGGAACAGGTGGTAATGGAGGCATCTGATGCATAGAGGATGATAGTATAGTAGGAGGTTGTGTGGTTGATGAAGGGGTAGCAAACATGTCTCTAGGTGGGGAAGATGTAGTTGATATATGCATATGTGGGGTAAATGGAACTGATCCAACATCCTCCGATGATGTTGCTATAGTAGGAGAATTAGCCATATGTTGATGTTGAGATGTAATTGGTGATGGTGTGGAATCTATGACAAACCCACATCTGCCTCGACCGCAACCTCTGTCTCGACCTCTACCTCTACCTCTACTTATAGGGTCTTCCATCTATATGCAAGAAATTAATTAAATCATAGAAAAATATTACAAAATGAAAAATAATAGAATAGAAAAATTATTACCTATGTAGACATTATGTCAATGAAATCATTCTCATTCTGAATGTAATTACTCTTTTCAGGTTGATTAGAATTTTCACTTTCACTCTCATTTAAATCATTGCTATTATTTTTCAAGTTGATTAAGTAAAACCCTATCAATTTCATCAGCTACACCACCAATATCCAAAAAACTATCTTCATAATTATCTACTTCAACATGCAACATTACGTGAAGGTCACAAACTTCATGAACATCTTGATATGAAGCCTTATTATTATCAAAGAGATTAACAATGTTATTTGTGATAGCACTACATGCCTTTGTCTTAATGACATCCAACCATTCATAGTGTCCCTTTGGATATGGCGTGTAATAAACTTGCTCAGCTTGTTGTGCAAATATGAATGGATCATATACATTGTACCTTCAAGATTTCCTTACTTTAACAACTCCATATTTATTGTCTATTTTTGTCTCCTGATTAAGTGTATTATCAAACCAATCACACTTGAAGAGGACTAGTTTTTTAATTAGTATACTAGTATACTCTAATTCAATAATATTTGTCAACACCAAAAAAATCATCCTCGTACACACACCAAAATTAGAAGTTTTCATTCATTCACTCCATGCCTTCGTGTGAAATTTATAGCCATTTATAACATAAATAGGCCATGAATTAACCTTTCTTAATGGGCCCCAAGCCAAAGAAATCAAAAGTGGGTCTTGAATTTCATTTTGTGGATCTTGAACCTATTTAAGGAATGTGGTAAACTAAGTGAGTTATTACCTATGTTACAAAGATAAAATACAACTTAAATAGTGTATGAAGTTAGTAACCTACATAATTTTTAAACCAATTTGGAAAATGAGAAACTACTTCCTTATCAATTTGAGAATCCAATATGCCAGGGTGAAGCTCTTTGAGGAAGTTGGCAAATATTCTACAAATTAAAATAAATCAACCAAACTAAGTATGAATAAAATATAAGTTGCAATAGCTACTTATGAATAAAATTTCATTTATGCTAACTTATTCTAGATATGGCTCCACTTCTTCACAATTTTTAAGAACATACAAGTGAGAAGCTTTGATGTCACGTTGTTCTAAGTAATATTGGTGAAATTTTCCACTTGCATGTCCCGGATAGTTAAAAATAGAAATTGGAGTACTAGATGATGAACCTTCACCTTCATGAACATTACGTGGTATTCTAGTCGTCCTTCTTGTGTCTATTTCGGATGGGTAGTAAAATGAAACAAAGGTAGATGTTTCCTCCAATAAATAGGCTTGACTAATAGAACCCTCTACCCTAGCCTTATTTTTTACCTTTTCTTTCAAGAAACATAAGAACCTAAGAATGACACTTATGTAAAAAAGTGTTATAATTAAATAGAATGACATAAAATCATAATAAAAAGTTTTATTAAAAAATATATACCTCTTAAATGAATACATCCAACAATATTGAATTGGGTCACTACAATTTATTATCTACAGTATAGACAAAATGAAGAACATTAGTGAAATGGAATGCGATTTGCAGAAGAAAGAATGACGCACATGGTAAAAAGGGAGAGAGCACATACGGTTACGGTGCGAGCGTAAGACTTGAAACGTAAGCTTTCAAAAAGGAATAGACTTGAAAAGTAAGCTTCCAAAAGGTAAATACGAGAGAGCGCGGGGGAACTTATTTTTTATTTCTTTTTCCATTAGAAAAATAAACAAATCAAATTTAAAATAAAAATAGTCTAATACAGAGAAGAAAAAATTTAATGACAGAATTTTTTATATTTAAAAAATGTAATAATTGAGATGTACAATTTTTAAATAGTTTATATGAAATCAAGTAAATTTATAGTAGTTACGTTTCTCTCACAAATAAAAATAGAGTAGTTACAATTTAAACTAAATTTTAAAATTTATTTCCTTTGAAATTAGTAGAAAATTGTGAATAGTTACCATTCTCTAAAATTATATTTCTCATTTTTTCAAATAGTAATTATATTTCTCATTCATACAAAATTAAGTAAATTGTGAGTAGTTACAGTTCTCTAAAAAAAATTAGTCAGTTAAAAAAAATTATAATTGAAAATTTTAATAAGAAAATATTTCATTATAACTAAAAGAGAAGAAAATAAAAATATATATTTAGAAACATTATTTTGAAATAGTTAGTAAGGAAATATTATATTATTTAAAAAAAACTGTGAGATTCAAATATTAGCAAATTAAAAAATTGAAAGTAGTTACGCTTCTCTAAAAGAATGGTAGTTAGAGTTTTAAAAAAATTGTTATTATTGAAAATTTTAATAAAAAATATTTTATTATAACTATAAGAGAAGAGAATAAAATTAAATATTTATGAAAATTATTTTGAAATAATTAATAAGAAAATATTATAATATTTAAAAAAATTTGAAAATAGTTACGGTTCTAGTTAGACTTTTAACTTTAATTTTGCATAACAGGCCTAACCTCCAAGCAAATAACAATAGTAATTATATTTCTCATTCATACAAAATTATGTAAATTGTGAGTAGTTATACTTCGCTAAAGAAGAGTATTTAAAGTTGAATAAGGTTATAGTTGAAAGATTTAATTAGAAAATATTTTATTATAGCTATAACGGGAAAAAAAAAAAATATATCTTTTGGAACATTATTGTGAAATAGTTAGTAAGCAAATATTATAATATTTATACAAAGTTATATTAAAAAATTAGAAAATTAAAAATTGAAAGTAGTTACAATTCTCTAAAAGAATAGTAGTTAGAATTTAAAAAACATTAAATTATTATATTTGAAAGTTTTAGTAAAAAAATATTTAATTATAAGAAGATATCGAAAATAAAAGAAAGAGAAATTGAGTAAATTAAGAGTAATCACAATCTAAATAAAATCTTAAAACTTAATTTCAAAGATTTATTAGTAAAAGAAAATAGAAAAAAAGGAAAATAAGTTGAAAATGACTAGCGTATAAACTAATTTGTACAAGATCTATTTTATTAGTTTCTCTAAAATCATATTTTTGACTTGCATAAGTTAATTTTTAAAATATATATAGAAGCTTATTTTTAGTTTAATATTTATCTAGAAATGCATGTGTAAAAGTTTATCAAAATAAGTATCAAATGTAAATAGTAATTATAGTATCCATTCATACCAAAATAAAGTTAAATGTGATTATTAACAAAATCATTCAGTTGTCAAAGAACTAGAGGATTTGAAAGAGGTTGTCCTAAATGGTGAAGACAAAGGACTCAACAATAAGAGTAGCTTTGATCCTGAGAAACACATTGATGAATACCACCCGTTGAAATATTGCTCCCACCAGGCTTAGCTTCTGCATCAGCAGGCCCCCTCCTTCCCTGTGGAGTAGCAGATGAATTCATCTGTTGATTCCTATTTATCTGAGCCTCCCCCATTTTCTTAACCGTAAAAGGCAATGCAATCGCAACAACACACAACCTCCCATTAAAAACATGCCTATTCATCCCTTCCTTACAAGCAGTGGCAGCAGAAGGATCATAAAACTCAACCTGGCAATACCCCTTTCACTTCCCACTCGCCTTCTCATCATAAAACTTCACCTCCTTCACTGGCCCATACTTACTAAGCTCCGCTTCTAGGTCAGCATCAGTAGTCCACCAATGCAGATCACCCACAAACAATATAGTACTACCAGAGGCAGAAGCAACACCACCACCTCCAACTCCTTCAGTACTAACATTACTAACAACACTAACATTGTTCCCAACACCATTTCCACCAACCCTATAGTAATAATCTGTGATGGAATTTATTGGCGCATGCATTGGAGACATTCATGACATGAATTAATTTAGATTCCTACAATCCCATATTAGTCAACTCATACTATATAATATATTAATCTCATTCTCCATCACCCTTCCCAATCACTAAAACTCTACTACTATTCTTATACTAATCACCTAACACTTTAAGTGCCCACTGCCTCCATTCAATTAGCCTATGCTTACTTCTTCCTATTTTTTTCTTAATTCAAATTATAACATCTATACTTCTTTATTTTAACGACTTTATGTTCATCTAAAAGTCAAACCTGATCAAAATATATAATTCTCCACCCATAGGAAGAAAACATCAAGAACAGAATATTAAAATGTGTCACCATTTTTTTTCTCCACTTTTTTATTGTTTAGTGAACTCTTCTTGACTTATTTAACGCCACTTTAAGATTGTGTTTGGTAAAAAAAAATAAAAAGTAGTTAACAGGTAGAGTTAAAATTAGTTGTTTGATAAAAAAATTATAGTAGTTTTTTTTATTGTTTCTAGAAGTTTTGACAAATATTTAAAATATTTGTAGTTGTTTCAAGGGAATAGCTCTATATATGCAAAGATTGGGCAGCATACTGCATTATGGGGCTTCTTTAATTTGAGAACATTTATTATTATTATTATTTTTAGTTACAAAAATGGTACCTTATTTTCTATTTTTGAAGGTTTGTATAGGGAGCTTTTATTGAAGCTACTACTGAAGTAATCTGTTCATGAAGTTCATCCCAGCTGCAATATTTAAGACAGATATATCACGAAGTTTTGCTTTGGTTTCATTGTTGCTTGAGGTCCTTGCTGTAGCACTTTTAAAAGGTAATATTCTCAATATTGGTCTTCGAATGCCTCTCTTTCACCACTTTAACTTTGATTAACCTCTATATATGATTTTTCTTGTGATACATTTTTCTTAATCTTTTTGGTTCTGCATGCCAAGTCTTTTCATGCACTAAAATTTCCTTGTGGACTGAGGCTAGTGTTTGGGTTATAGAATGCCACCTAGGACGAGTATACTAGCTAGTATACTCACACAAATGAATAATTAATTTTCCTCCATTCGTTATGAT